GGGCTTGCACTCTAGGCCTATGCACTGTCCTGAGCTCTTCAGCTCAAGGCTAGTGCTCTACCACTTGAGCCACAGTGCCACTTCTGGCCTTTTCTGTTTATGTGGTGCTGAGGAATCGAACCCAGGGCCTCATGCCTGCAAGGCAAGCGCTCTATCACTGAACTACCTTGCCAGCCCCAAGACACATCCTGTCTATCTTTTCCCCTTCTTCCTTCCTCCTTCAGTCTTCTCTGTGATACGGCAACCAAAAGGAAAGAGCTAACTCAATCCTTACGTAACAGAGATATTAGTCAACTGTATGCTTCTTAGGAGGCTCCCCCTAGAAATTATCCAGCGTTCCAGTCAGATGTTTGTCTGTGTGACAATGCTTAAGAACCTAAATTCTCTGCACAAAACTCTATTATATCCCACTGAGTTAAAACAATCACTCTCAAGACTCAAAATATGCACTTGTTTAACCACTATGTAAATTATACCTTATCCTGAATCAGTGATGCCGCCACTATAAGTCATTTTATTTGTTTGTTTGTTTGTTTGTTTATTTATTTGGGCCTGGTCTAGGGGTTTGAACTCCAGGCCTGTGTACAATTACTGACAATTAGCTGGGCTTTTTTATTTTTATTTTTGCCCCAAACTGGCACTCTATCACTTGAGCCACAGCTCCATTTCTAGCTTTTTTGGCGGAGATAAAAAGAGTCTTCACAAACTTTCTTGTCTGGGCTGGCTTTGAACTACAACCCTCAGTACTCAGCCTCTTGAGTAGCCAGGATTATAGGAGTGAGCCACCAGCCACCCAGCTTATAATGGTTAATTTTATATGTGATCTTGACTTGGTCACACAAGTCAAAATGATGAAACATTACTCTAGGTGTTTCTTTCAGGTATTTGGGGATGAGCTGAACATTTAAATCATGACACTGAGTAAGACAGATCACCCTCACTAGTACAAGTAAGCCTCATCCACTTAGCTGAAAGGCCTAATCCACTAAGTAAGGGTGAATTCTTTTCTGCATGATTGCCTTTGGATGGGAACACTGCCTTTTTAATTGGCTTTGAACTCAAAGTGAAGCACAGGATCTGGGTCTCAAGCCTGTCAGCCTTTGGACAGAGACTACACCATGAGCTCTCTTGATTCATAGGCTGTCATACTCAAATTGGAATTAAAACTATCCCTTCTCCAGGGTCTCCAGCTTGCTAACTCACTCAGAGGATTTTTGTAACCTGTCAGGCCTCCATAATCCCTTAAGCCAATTCTTTGTAATAAATCTCTTTATTTCTACACATATATGGATACACATAGGCAAATATATACATATAGATCCCTTCAGTTCTAATTTTCTGCAGAACTTCATCAAGTATACGGAGTTACACATTCAACCCATGTCCTCATGACAAGGTTGAATTCCTGGGCCAATTATTCGTGTTTCTTCATCTACCTACTACTTTTTTTCTCTCCAGCTTCATCTCTTCAAGTAGTGTCTGTACCCCAAACCCATGTGGAACCAGGCCAAAGAAAGTTCATTAAAATCTCTCCCCTCCAGAATGCTCTTTTCACCCCACTCAGAGTAAGTTTAAAACAGTCCCTCATAGGCACACATGCTAGGCACAACACCAGGATGGGCATCACGCACAAGTGCAAGGCTGGGCACCACTCTTCAGAGGTTCTAATCTTCTACAAGGTTCAACCTGGCAAGTAGTGTGGACAGAAAAACCTCTGTGCCTCCCTATCATAGGAGCAATCAGTATACTTTATGTGCTAACTGCACATATATTTATCTGAATTCTCCAACATCCCTAAGGCAAGGGCAGGATTTCATTGGCTAACGTATCACCAGACCAGAGGCTCACTCATAGTATACGTTCAGCAATTATTTGTTGAGTAAATAATCAGATGAACTTCAAACAGTCCCACATCATCAGTTATTGGCTTAATTTAAAAACTGTCAACCAAGAGCACTTTCTTTGGAGTAAGAGATATTTTCTGGGATTTGAATACACAGCATTTTATTTGCAAGTACCTACTCTACCACTTGAGCCAAGCACACAGCCCTTTTTTGCCTTATTTTTTTAATAGGGGCTTGTATTTTTGCCCACTTAGTCCCAGCCCTAATTCTCCTATTTATTTCTCCCAGAAAGATGGTATACAGACATGTTCCATCACACCCAACCTACTGGTTGAGATGAGTCTCTTTTAACTTTTCAGCTTTGAACTAAGGTCCTCTTGTTTTCTGCATCCCCAGTAGCTAAGATTACAAGCCAAAGCCATTTTGCCTGGCTTTAAAAAAAAAAAAAAAGGTTTTGTTTTGTTTTTCTAATACTGGGTATTAAACTCAGAACCCTGCACTTGCTGGGCAGTCATACTACCACTTGAGTTATACCTCCAGCGTAGTTTTTATATTGGTTATTTTTGAGGTAGAGTCTTATTTTATGCCCAGGCCAGCTGAGATGCGATTTTTCCTACTTGTGCTTTCCCTATATGTTGCTAAATGATGACAACCATGTGCCACTCTACCCATGTGCCATGGGCTGGAACAGAATCTTGCAATCTTCTTTTTTATTCTCACTGGCCTCTAACTGCTATCCATCAACCTGTTCCTCCCATGTGGCTGGATGAGAACCCTGAGTTACCACTCTTGGCTGAGATCTGTAAGGAACATATTCAGCCACTTCTGTATCATCAACCACTGATGGTAACCCCAAGGTATAAGACTGAGAGGAATAATCAATATATCTTCAGTTCCTTCTCTGTGCTAGGCAAGCCCCAACCATGCAAGTCCAGAAGCAAGTAGTGTAAGGGAGCAAGCTGAGCAAAGATCCAAAAAAACCATGGAAGAATCAGGAAGCAGACCCACTTTTCTCAAGCATTCCAAAGTGTACTGACCCTAAAAGTTCACTTAAGTATCTGAAGCATATTTTTAACCATGATTATAATTATAGCCACTTCGAATCACCATCAAAGTAATATTCCCAAACTCTGCTTGGCTACTGCCCGGAAGTTTCTTATTCCTTCTAGATCTTAGTTCTCTTAGCAGTTAATCAACCATAGCATACGGCTCAGGAGCTGCTGTAAACAATAACTGAGACAATGCACTGGAGATCACTCAACACTCTGCATGACACATGCTAACTGATGAGACAATAAATGCAAGTTATTAATATTATAACTGCAAAGGCAGATTTGCAAACACAAGCGAATCTATAGTTCACTAGTAAGGCACGAGCTGAAAGATTTTACTAGATCGTAGCCTCTTCAAAATTCAAATCCCCCCAACTTTGAGATTAAGGAATTTAGCTTGCTGTGTGCCATGAACACAGCAACCTAACAATAAGAGAATGATTTTGGGGTACTCTTCTCAGGGAAATCTTTTCCTATATTAAACACCACTACTTCTAAGAAATAAAACACCCTAATGCCAAACCTAAACCCAATGTATATAAATTAAAAGAAGAAGAAAAAGAAATTTAAAACTACATATAGGCTAAGTGTTATTTAAAAAAAAAAAACTCCCCATTTATACAACTCCACGCACAGAATTACAGTTAAAAACTCTCTTTGCCTGATATAAAGCATTATTCACTCTACATTAATTGGGTGGATGGATATTTGGAGGGCTGCAAGTACTTCTACTTAATAATATAAGCACTTTTAATATAAACATAGGAAGGCTGATTAGATAGCTAAAATAGCTGGTACTCATGGCATCTGCCTACCATCCCAGCTACCATGTGAAGCATCAATGTGTGAAGCATGAACAGTAACATGTGGTACAGACTGGCCGGGTGGGGGGAGAGGGGATGGTGGGTCTTGTGTCAAAAATAACTAGTGTAGCCAGGCACCAGTGGCTCGTGTCTGCAATCCTAGCTACTCAAGAGACTGAGATCTGGTAGTTCCAAGCCAGCCTATGAAGAAAAAGTCCTCAAGACTCATATCCAATTAAGCACCAAAAAAAAAGCCAGAAGTGGAGCTGTGACTCAAGTAAGAGAGCATTTTGCCTCAAACAAAAAAGCTCAGGGACAATGCCTAGGCCTTGAGTTCAAACCCCAGTACCACCAAAGGATCGCAGAAGTGTACTCTTTTTACTTAACGAAGGTCTATTTTACATGATATTTAGGTTCTTTCTCTTTCTAGCCTAAACAGTTACCATCCGCAATAGAATTTCAGCTTCTTTCTATAGCACATCACCCAAATAATTTGCTATTCCCAATAATTGTTCTTTAATTTAAAATCAATCGAACATTAATGGGTTAAAATCATGTTCTCTCTCTCCAAGTCCTACTAACCAGGTTTCTAGTTCCCCTAATTACAAAATACATCTTTTCATTTTTCTTGCTGGGGAGGTAGCTCAGTGGTAGAGCTCTGGCCTTGCATGTGCATGGCTCAGAGTTCAATCCCTTGTACTGGAAAAAAAAAAAAAAAGTTATGCCCTTTTCTTTCAGCTTGTTTCCCTCTTCTTACTAACTACATTATAAAAATGATAGTTTCACTCTCAAAATAATCATCTTTCTTACCATTTACATCACTGATTTCTCATTTTGTTGGTCATTAAAATGTCTTCCTTTTCTGATCCTTTCCCTTCCAAACCCCATCATTCTTCTATTACTTCTAATAGGAGCATAAATGACCGTTCTAGTCACCTCCTTCTTTCATGGCCTGTAAAATCCACTCCCCAGTGAATCAGAAAGAGCTTAGTGCCCATAGGGGAGGAGAGACCTGTCTAAATTTGCTTGTGTTCTTCTTTAACTACCATCCTCTGCCTCCATAGAACTGATCTTTCTGTCTTAACCTTCCACTCTCTTTCACAGATCACCAAAGTGCCACACACCTTGGTGGACAAACATGGCATTTACCTAGAGCTACCCCCGCTTTACCACACAAGTTAGGTATCATAGTGAGACCATACACCTTGACTCTGATATTTTATATGTTTTCTATAGCAACTACTGGCAAACAGTTTTTAAAAAGCTTCCACTTTTAAAGGATCCCAGAAATATAATCCTACCTTTCCCAGGATTTGGAGGAAAAGGACTTCCACACTCTTGCTGCTTTGGCTTTAAAGTATGTGACCCTGACATGCCTCCAGCCTGGGTGACCTGGAATCGTGGTTTCCCATTGGTGAGCACTTGTCGCCTGGGGCTCAGGGCAGGTAGATGGATGGGGCTCTCAGCCACGTTGTTCTGAGAAGCCATCCCTCCTCCCGAGGACATCTTGAGATGGAAGTTGCTAGCAAGGCTTCCAAGAGCAGGACTTGGTGTGCTGCCATAGGACAAAGGACCAGGAGTCCCTGAATGGGCTCGGATGGGAGGAATATGCTGGCCACTGACCATCCCAGGCCCCTGTGTTCCTGGTGTCCGGTGGAGACTCATGCTGCATGACCTCCCATTCATTCTGAAAAACCTGCAGCCAGGATGCTCAAATCTTCAGTGGTACTAATGACTCCTTTCAGGCAAAGTCCAATAAGTTATCCATGGTGTGGGTTCTTAGCCTGTTTAAAAAAAATAAATGCAGGCATTTTAAAAGTAAAAAATGAAAAGAAGGTTTAGTGCGTTTTCAACTCATATAGTGAGTTTTCTTTCATACCAGGAAGAAAAGAAGCAATTGTAGTTAGCTAAATGGCCTTTTACATAGAACAAGGTCATCAAATACCCAGCTCCCTGGCAAGTACTCTCCCTACTGCATTCACAGTAGACATGGATTATGGATTGCTGCATTGTTTTGCTTGACACTGAGCCCTTCTCAATATGGTGCTCTTGGCTACTACTACCAATCTACCACTGCCAACTTGCAAAACAAAACTTATTTCACTCCCCTAAAGATCTGCCTGCACTAGTTCATTCTTACTATAGTGGGTCTTGGGAAATCCCCAAACTCCAAAACCCCAACCTTCATGAGCAATGAGACCCATCTTTCAAAGGCCCCAATAAACATCCACAAAATAGGTTTGGCTTATAAATGAGGTAACAATAACTGGGGGGGGGGGGGCGGTGGGAAGGCCTATGATTTTCACTCTAAGTGCAATCTTTTCACAATCTTTTCAATTTACAAAAAAAAAATACAACTTGAAGTTTAAGAAGATTACAAAGGATTTAATAATATATATTTTTATTATTATGCTTTGATAGTCGTGGGGTTTGATTTGGGGGCCTGAGTGCTATCCTGGAGCTCTCTGTGCTCCAGGCTAGCACTCTACCACTGAGCCACAGCTCCAGTTCCAATTTTCTGGTAATTAATTGGAGATAAAGAGTCTCAGAGACTTTCCTGCCTAGGCTGGCTTTAAACTGCAACCCTCAAATCTCAGCCTCCTGAGTAGCTAGGATGTCCGCCATGAGCAGTAATATATCTTTATATTTAAATGTCCTCAGCAGCTTTAGAATCTCGATTCCATACTGAAACCAAGTTACAAGTATGTAAACAGAGTCAACACCACCAATATTCTAGCTTTGGTTAATGTCCCAATAAAGGTGAGAAAGCTAATGTCTGATGCACAGAACAGAGTGTTTCAAAGGGTGAGCTGTTCCCAGGTGTTCACAGTATAAGACATCATACTGCTCATTAACCATACTCTCATGAAGCTTCCTACAGGAGAAAATAAAGTACAGGCGCAACCACAGGATGCCATCACCTATCCACATGCACTGAAGTCAGTACTCCAGGGTTCTGAATCATGAAGGAAAGCTCCTTCCTCTCTTACTCAAAGTCATACAACGAAGTAACCTACTATAGCAGGACCATTACTGCAAAAGTATAATAAATACATTCACAATCTGTCTTGGATAGAGACGTGATAGTCATGGAAAGAAGCCAAGGCTAACTAAACACAGGAAATACAGACACAGTACAGAGTAGTAGCATTTAAATATTCCCAGTGGGTTGAGACCTACTTTTTCCATATGATCCACTTTAAGGTCTTAGACAAATATTGAACTCCAAAATAACTGACTCATAAGTCATCAAAGGAAAACTATCAAGGAAAGGAAAAGTTTTTTACATAGAATTTTCTTATCATTCTATGTGGTATATATACACAATGGAATTCTATGCCTCCATCAGAAAGAATGACATTTCCCCATTTGTTAGGAAATGGAAAGGCTTGGAAAAAATTATATTAAGTGAAGTAAGCCAGGCCCAAAGAAACATAGGTCCCATGGTTTCCCTTATTTGCAATATCTAGTATAGGTATGAGTCAAGCGGAAAAAGTCAGATAATGTGATGTTAGGAAAACAAAACCTCAAATATGTATTTTAATGTTTTTGTTTCTTTCATGCATGTGTTTCTAACGCATTTATAAGATTATTTCTTTGTTGCTTTGTATGTCCCTCCCCCACAGTATAACCCCCGCTTTCACTATATTTGATGTCAATATAACATGTGGAGGAGATGGGGACAAACAAGTCGTTTAAGGATTCAGGTGGACCTGTTGCAACAATGAGAAGTACAAAATGTCATGTCAAAACCAGCTTTACAATGTCGGTGGGGGGGGGGGGTATGATTGGTTGGGAGGGAGGGGGGAGGCTGGGAAGGGAGGTGAAGGGTAAGCAAAGGAGGAGGCTGCAATGCTTGGTAAGAAATGTATGCATTATCCTGCCCATGTAATTGTAACCCCTCTGTACAGTATGTTACAGTATGTTCTCAAATAAAATAAAATAAAATTTAAAAAAAAAAAAAAAAAAAAAGAATTTTCTTATCATTCTAGGAAATCTAAACGAGTGATACTGCAAGTCAAGTGCTCATTGCGCCTTCTGAAAAGTTTTACCTGTGGGACTTTGTTGAGGAACTTCAAAAGTAATTAACAGCTGGGTGCCAGTGGCTCACACCTATAATCCTAGCTGCTCGGGAGGTTGAGCTCTGAGGATAGTGGTTTGAAGCCAGCCTACGCAGGAAAGTCCATGAGATTCTTATCTCCAGTTAAGCACCCAAAAAGTCAGAAGTGGAGCTGTGGCTCAGATGGTAGAGCACTAACTTTGAGGAAAAGAAGCTCAAGAATAGCACCTAGGCTCTGAGTTCAAGCCCAAGACTGACACATATACATGCAAAAAAAGTCATTGAACAACATAAAATTAAAAATGTTATTTTTGTCAACTCTCTGTTTTGCTAAGGATTCTATCAGTCTATGGTACTTAACACTGTCATTTTCTCTAGTCTTAAAAGACTCTCAGTAGTTCTATCAGCTGTCTCCAGACTACCCTTCTCACCATTACAGTCCTTTCTAAATGGACAAGTAATTCCAAGTTATCCAAACATGCACGGTTGACGTTTGTTTATGGAGCAGTATGATATAGACCTTACTTCACTTAATATAATTAAGTCAGACCCAAAGAAACATAGGTTTGCATGTGTAATAATTAGAACGTGCCTCTAAATCTACAAGTAAACCCAATGTATACTAAAAGACAAAAAAACTTCACGTGCATATGCGAAATTAAACAGAACTCTAAACAGTCACACAATGAAACCAAAGGAGGATATTCTTAGGAAAGGACTTACAACAGCTCAATAGCTACGTGCACAAGATCATACAAAATGGTTTATTGACACGAACTCCAAGAACCGGAGACCGAAGGTTTTTTATTTTACTTTCTGTGGGATTTTTTTGTTTTTCCCCTTTTGTCGCTGTTTTTTTTTTTTTTAATTTCCCTGCCTTTTGTCTTGTATGTAAGTTAAGTGTATCTGATTTGGAGAGGGGAAGGAGAACACAGAAACAGAGGGACACATGGTGAACAAATGCAGCAGTGATACTCACTAGATACTATGATGAAAATGAACTATATAACTTAGGAGGAAGGGGGGACAGTTGGGAAAATACTGGGAGAAAATGAGGGAAGGGGTGACACTGTTCAAAAAGAAATGTACTCCAGACTTAACTTATATAACTGTCACCCCTCTGTCATTACCTTTACAATAATTTTTTAAATATAGACTTTGATACTAAACCTGTTATAAGCCTGATCCCACACACATAACACCACCACTGGAAAAATTCCAATGCCTTTTCTGTTGTGTGTATGTAGAAGAACTCAAGTGTGCAGCCAGCCAGTCTGCTGATTCACTCATTCAGTAAAAATCTCTTAATGTCTTTATGCTTTGCCAGAGAAAATCGTCCATCTATTTTTCCACTCATTGATAAAATGGTGTCATATGAGTTCTCTGAACCCTGCAGAGAAAGCACTTATTCAGTACTCACCAAAAAAAGAGAGAAAGAGAGAAAAACCATAGAAATATGTCCTATTGGCAATTTTTTGAAAATGAATAATTGTCTAACATGACTGGAAATTTGAGTCACCGGAATGATGGCTCAAAAGTGACACGCATCTGCAGATTGACAGACTGTACCCATTTCTGAAGTGTTTTTTTTTTTTTAAGAAGAGAGTTACTTTTGGCAACAACATATATACAAACAGGAATCCTCATCAAAAATTTGGACTACAACACCTGAATACTTAGCATGAGTCTCGATCATTAAGGAGGTCAATCAATCTACAAGAAGGAAAAAAAGTGCTGAGGACTTAATTATCAGACATACCTCTGCTGGTCTTGCACTGGTGTCTTGTTTTTAAAATAAATTTTAGTCTTACTTTAAATAGCTTTTAAAGTAAAAACAACAAAATGTACTTAACATTCATTACTAAGAAAACAGCAAAGTGATTAATGCTATATGCAAATATGGCTTAGTGGGCAGAGTGCTTGCCTAGCATGCATGAAGCAATGGATTTCGATTCCTCAGTACCACATAAACAGAGCCACTGTGGCTCAAGTTGTAGAGTGCTAGACTTGAGCAAAAGAAGCTCAGGGACAATGCCAAGTTCAAGCCCCAAGACTGACACAAAAAAGGAAGGGAAGGAGGGAGGGAGGGAGGAAAGAAAGACAAACCAAAAGTCTATGAGCAGAGCAAAACCAACCCTGAGATAAAAAGAAAACTCTATGTGAAAAAAAAAGCCTAAAATTCCAGTTTTCACTTAATTGTGCCAATAGCTTTTTCAAGTGGGAGATAGTAGAGGTAAAAATCAATTTTGCTTACTTGTATTTTTGACACAATTTAGTTGCCCTATGATTGAGATTGGATTCTAAATCTACTTGGTAAAAATAAAATAAAATAAAAAACAAAAAGGAATAAACTACTCAGTTTCACCAAAGATATATGGCTCCAAGAGTGAAAAGAACACTCAAAAAGTCAAGATTTCTGTTGGGTGCCAGTGGTTCATGCCTATAATCTTAGCTACTCAGGAGGCTGAGATCTGAGGATCGAGGTTCAAAGACAGCCTGGGTAGAAAAATCCCTATGGGATTCTTACCTCTAATTAACCTCTCAAAAACTGGAAATGGTGCTGTGGTTCAAGTGGTAGAGTGCTAGCTTTGAGCATAAAGAGGCTTAGGGACAGAGCGCCTAGGCTCTGAGTTCAATCCTCACAACAACAACAAAAAAGTCAAGATGTCCAAGTTCTATTTGTGGCAAATCATTCCCAATTATTCCGGACTGAGTTTTTCACCC